AAAAGTGGTTTGTTAATTCATGTTACCGGAAATATCTCTCACTAAGTATCAAGTTTCACACATTGGCACTGTTGTGGATATTAAGGCAGTGGTAGCCAATGATATCTGAAACGGCAAAGTTAAAACTCACATAATGGTCTGCTCAGAGTCAGTGTACAGAAACTGGTAAAATAATTCTTTATCTGTCTCAAAACAGCATGAAATGCCTACTCTGCCAAATCTGCAACAAGGACCAGATTTTCAAAAGCAGTGTCTAAAATTGTGCTCTGTTTTTGCACATTGGATGTGTGTATGCAAACTGCACTTGTAGGTATACATTTGTATGCACAAATGAGTGCATCTTTTTTCACAGTTGTCTGTAAATGGCCTATTCTGCTGAGTGTGCTATACAAGTTACAAGATAATTAGTAATTGGGGTTTGTGTACACATTGAAGTTATTGTGCATGCAAAAACATATGCATGAAAAATACCAAGATAAAATTGCCTGCACTATTTATAGGCCTCAGAAATGGAGAGTTATAGTAATGATTAGTAGGCATGGAAGGATTCGATTTTTAGAGGTAAATGTCAATAAATATCAATTTTCACACAAACTAATGAAAAAATCCATAGATAATCAAAATTTACAGATAGTCAAAATAAGAAAAATGCTGCTTTAGAACTTATTTGAGTTTAATTTAGGGATATTTACTGTGTATATTTTGACATATGATGTAGACAATTTGTGTTTTAACATTTATAAATCTCTTTAACTTTTTGAATATCAACATCTACTGTCATTAAATCATTATTGTGACACTCTCTATAATTTTCCACAATTGTGAAAATTTAAATCAATAAATTTGAAAAAATGCTTAAAACCCATAATTTTGCACAACTTTAAAATTGAAATAGATAAAAATAAAAAATGCTTAAAATAAACATCAGTATTTTCCATCACAATTATTGTTAAAAATCAAATTCTCCCAAACCTAAGGATAAATAATGCAGTTCTTTGGTAAACTGGTTTAATCTTTGCTTACTGGAATGACTCTAGGACAGGGGTAGGCAACCTATGGCACATGTGCCGAAGGCGGCATGCGAGCTGATTTTCAGTGGCACTCACACTGCCTGGGTCCTGGCCACCGGTCCGGGGGGCTCTGCATTTTAATTTAATTTTAAATGAAGCTTCTTAAACATTTTAAAAACCTTATTTATTTTACATACAACAATAGTTCAGTTATATAGTATAGAGTTATAGAAAGAGACCTTCTAAAAACGTTAACATGTATTACTGGCACATGAAACTTTAAATTAGAGTGAATAAATGAAGCCTCGGCACACCACTTCTGAAAGGTTCCCGACTCCTGCTCTAGGATTTCATATGAAGAGGAGTACCTGGAAGCATTTATAGTCTTTTGGGCTGTGCCAAGTGGCAACAGTTTGGCCCTCAGCAATGACTTTAATGCCACAAAGGCACCTTTTGTGTACACTGCCTGACCCAAAGGTGATACAGTTCACTTGTTGAGTCAAGACAACTGTTCAGGCTTGTTTATGAAATATTTTCAATGGATTCACACAGTTGTTTAGCTGACACAAGAGAAACAGTCTGTGCAGATGTATTGTTTAGGAGAATCCTTAGCTTCTGACTCACATACAAGTTCAGAGTTTTAAATGAATGACAAAGGGGCATTGGGTTCATGGCTCAACATGCCAATGGACTAGAATGCTAACTCTACTATAGTCACAAACTACAGTACTGTACAATCAGATGCTCACTAGCATGTTGGAGATTGTGACTTTTTTAAGCATATGGCATTTGTAATGAAGTAATGAGTTCCCTTCATCTGGATGTATCAGTGGCAGGGTGAGATGTAGCCATGCAACTACAACTTCCAGAAATAAAACTTGTTTGTCTGTCCCACACAATTTTAAAACACATACTAAAGGTGTAACCAGGTTTCTAAGCCATTCGAATTAAACCCTCTCCATGCACTGTCCATCTCATCATTCCTTAGTCCAGTTGAAGGTGTAAATTGCTCCTTAGAAAGTCCTCTTGTGAAGAAATAGATGGACAAAAAATTGGCCTTCTATCACTGAGCCAGCTGTTGGCCAGTAAAACATTAATCTCCTAAAAATGCAGATCTACATTACTAGTGAACATGTGTGTTTAAATGAAAGAGCAGGTGGATTTATTATTTTTTGAAATAGTATTGATTCATTTTTCGGACAAATCCTGCTCTCTGCTCCATGGATGAGGAGCACCTCATGCAGTGAAAACATAATAGTGGTGGGTTGTTTCAGGATCTGGAAAGATTATATAGTGGGCATGGTGCTCCTTGTACAGCACAGAGTTCTAATTCCCATCTGGTAGCAGGTAATATCGGGGGAAGAGTGCAGGTGGGACTCGTAGATGGATCATTATGTTGAACTACGAGCCATTGCCTCCTGTGTAGTCAGGGCAGCCAAGGATCAGGTGGTGGCAGTGGCAATGTAGTAGGTCCTCTGTCACTTCGCAGTTCAGGGTGAAGAGTCCTCTGTCTCTCTGCCCCAAGGAGATCTTCATTTTAAGCTCAGTGACTCAGGTTGGGTGCTTGGAACAAGGTTTGGCCCTTAATGCTAAGATATCTACTCAATAAAGTAGTAGGTCAATAAAGTACCTACTAACAAGGAAAATAAAACCACTTACTGAAAGTTTGGAAAACTTGTGATATACCCTAATGAAAGCAATCCTCAATAAATGTGATATATAAAAAGATCTTTAATAAACTTTGTCTGTATATCCATACATTAGAGAGACAAGGTGGGTGAGGTAATATTTTTTATTGAACCAACTTCTGTTGGTAAGAGAGACAAGCTTTCAAGCTTAGACAGAGCTCTTCTTTAGGTCTGGGAAACTTACTCAGAGTGTCACAGCTCTGAGTAAGTTTCCCAAACCTGAAAAAGAATACTGTGGAAGCTCGAAAGTGTGACCCTCGCATCCACAGAAGTTGATCCAATGAAAGATATTACCTTACTCACCTTGTCTCCCTAATATCCAGGGACTGACATGGCCCTGCATAGCCATACATTAGTAATACATTGCCAAACTGGAAACTAGTCTTTACTCAAACAACACTCCAGCTGATTACAGATGGGCATTTTCC